CGGGCCTGTACACATTGACCTCTGAGTCCCCTCAGGTAGCTGGTCTGCGTCTGCGTCAGGTCAGTTGTCGGCCCCTTGCTCGTGTCGTGCCTTGTCGCACCAGACCCTCCTTTGGCACCACCGCCTTGGTCACCCCTCGGTGCAGCGCCTTCGCAGCATGCACCGTCGTGTCCTTGTCTCTGGTTTTCCCAGGGTTCTCCCTCCCCTCCCACCCTCGCCTGCTCCTCCCTGTCTTCCCTATGTCGTGGGGCGGCAGCGCGCCGCTCCTCACTCCTCCGAGTTCCCTCCCACAGAGGCTTCCCTGCAGACTCTCCACCTGGACGTGTGGGGCCCAGCCCGCGTCCGTGGACAGGGCCACGAGCGGTACTTCCTGCTGGTCGTCAACGACTACACGCGTTACACCACGGTCTTCCCCTTGTGCCCCAAGGGTGAGGTCCCTGATGTTTTGATCCCTTGGATCCACTATGCTCGTCTCCAGCTCCGCGAGCGGTTTGAGATGGAGTTTCCCGTCCTGCGTCTGCACTCTGACAGAGGTGGGGAGTTTTCCTCCGACCTCTTGGCAGCCTACTATGCGGAGCACGGCATCCGCCAGACGTTCACGCTTCCGGCCTCTCCGCAGTAGAATAGGGTTGCTGAGCGCCGCATTGGCTTAGTCATGGAGGTCGCTCGTACCTCCATGATCCATGCGGCTGCCCCCCATTTTCTGTGGCCGTTTGTGGTCCGGTATGCCGCACATCAGCTCAACCTCTGGCCCCGTGTCTCCTTGCCGGAGACCTCGCCAATACTGCTGTGGACGGGGAAGGTTGGCGATGCGTCACGTTTTCGGGTCTGGGGTGCTCGTGCCTTTGTCCGCGATACCACCGCGGACAAGCTCTTCGCCCGCACTGTTCCGTGTGTCTTCCTTGGCTTTGTCCCTGACGCGCCTGGTTGGCAGTTTTACCACCCCACCTCTCACCGTGTCTTCCCCTCTTAGGACGTCACGTTCAACAAGTCGGTTCCCTTGTACCGTCTCTTCCCCTAACGCACTGCCCCTCTCCCCCCCCCCGCCGCTCTTCCTCGCTCCATGTGCTCCCCCGGTAGACCCCCTCCCCGCTCGCGGTCCTGCTCCTTCAGGTGTGTCTCAGGTAGACCCTCCTCTCTTGACTTCACCGGTTGAGGTCACTGGTGACTCAGGTCCTGCTGAGGGTGGTCCTGCTCGGGGTGCTACTTCTGGGGGTGCTGAGCCTAGGGGTGCGGAGCCTGGAGGTGCTGAGCCTGGGGGTGCGGAGCCTGGGGGTGCTGAGCCTGGGGGTGCGGAGCCTGGAAGTACGGAGCCTGGGGGTGTGGGGACTGGAGATGCTGAGCCTGGAAGTGTTGAGTCTGGGGGTGCTGAGCCTGGGGGTACTTAGTCTGGGGGTGCTGCACCTGGGGGCGCTGAGGCTTCTGGTGAGCAGTCTCCCTGGGGCGGCCGTCTCTGTAGTCGCTCTGCTGGTACTTTGCCGCTGCACTCTCGTCGACGACTCCCTCTCTCCCCACAGCAGCTGCGTGAGTGGTACGTTGGCCGTCAGGGTCGCGCTGCTGGAGCTAGGGGCCTTGCTGCGGGAGGCGCTGGAGCTGGTGACTCTGCTACTGGAGTTGTTTCGGCTGGAGGTTCTGGAGCTGCTGGGGGTGCTGGAGCTGGAGGTTCTGGAGCTGCTGAGGGTGCTGGCGGTGGAGGTTCTGGAGCTGCTGAGGGTGCTGATGCTGGAGGTTCTGGAGCTGCTGCAGGTGCTGGCGCTGAGGGTTCTGAGTCTGCTGTAGCGTGGTCTCCTTGGAGTAGTCGCCTTCGTCCGCGTGTGCCTCTCACCTCACAGCAGCTGCACGACTGGTACGTTCGCCGTCAGGGTCGCGCTTCTGGAGCTCGGGGCTCGGCCGCTAGAGGTACTTCTGCTGACGTCACTGGAGCTGGGAGTGGTGCTGTTCCCGGAGGTGCTCGTACTGGAGGTACTGGAGCTGCCGGGGCTGGAGGTGCTGAGCCTGAGGGTGCTACTGCTGGAGACCCTGGGTCTGGGGGTGCTGCTGCTGGAGGCACTGAGGCTGGTGACCCTCGGCCTGGAGGTGCCGGTTCTAAGGGTGCTGCTGCTGGTGGAGCTGGTCCTGTAGGAGCTGGCACTGAGGGTTCTGGAGCTGCTGGTGGTGCTGGAGCTTCTAGTGGTGCTGGAGCTGCTGGTGCTGGTGGCGCTGCGCAGCCACGACTGCTCTTTGCTCCACCATCTCCGTCGTCTCAGCCACCGTATAAATCTGTGCTTCGCCAGGTTCTTATTCTCCCTTCGTCTACTGGTCTTCCGTTACAGCCTGGCTCACCGCTGCCTGCTCAATCTCCTTACACTGAGCAGACAGGGGGTCTTACTGAGCGTCGTGAGCCTACGTCGCGTCCTGTCTCACCTGTCCGTTCTGGTCGTCCTGGTCGTCGTGTTCCTCGTTCGCGTCAGCCGGCTGCCACCAGCACCCACCTAGTAGTTTGTCGTCCTTCCTCTCCTCTGCAGCGTGTTCCCCTTGCCGTCCCCTCCTGCGTCTTCTCTGCCTACCATTCCTGAGCCTGAGTCTGACCGCACCCGTGCTGCTCACCCTACTGCCACGCGTCTGCCTTTGTCACTAAGCTTGTTGACTTTGTTGCTGCTTGTCGTCTCGACTACGCTGCTAGGCTTGTTGCTGAGTCTGAGTCTGTCTGTCCTCCGTCCGTCGGGGGTGAGTGTGCTCTTGGCACGAACGTCCTTGAGGACAGGCAGGAGGACCTTGAGTGTCTTGCAGCCGCTGCACCTCATCTTGTGTCCATGCTGCTTGCCCCTGAGGGAGAGCCGGATGCACCAGACATCCCGACCCCGCGCTCTTACGCTGAGGCGATCGCGGGTGAGTACTCCTCCTAGTGGCAGATAGCCATGGACGCAGAGATGGCATCGTGGAAGTCCACACGCACTTACGTTGACGAGGTTCCCCCTCCTGGGGCGAACATCGTCAGTGGCATGTGGATTTTCAGGGTGAAGCGACCGCCGGGTTCTCCGCCTGTCTTCAAGGCTCGTTACGTTGCTCGAGGTTTCAGTCAGCGAGAGGGAGTAGACTTCTTCCATACCTTCTCCCCCACCCCGAAGATGACCACTCTTCGGGTGCTGCTGCACGTTGCCGCTCAGCGTGACTACGAGCTTCACTCTATTGACTTCACCACAGCTTTCTTACAGGGCAGCCTGCACGAGGAGATCTGGCTGCGCCGCCCTCCTGGCTTCACTGGGTCGTTCCCTCATGGTACCCAGTGGAGCCTCCGGCAGCCGGTCTACGGTCTCCGCCAGGCACCACGTGAATGGCACGACACACTGAGGACGACACTTGCGGCTCTTGGGTTCGCGCCTTCTACTACTGAGCCGTCGCTGTTTCTTCGCACCGACACTTCGCTGCCGCCATTCTACATCTTTGTGTACGTCGACGACTTGGTCTTTGCCACTGCTGACACTGAGGCTCTCGCCCTGGTGAAGTCGGAGCTGCAGAAGAGACACACGTGCGCAGACCTGGGTGAACTGCGCAGCTACCTTGGCTTGCAGATCACCCGGGACAGAGCACGCCGCACCATCACACTGACTCAGTCTCACATGGTGCAGCAGGTCCTTCGGCGCTTTGGCTTCACCTGATCCTCGCCACAGCACACTCCTCTGGCTACAGGCCACTCGCTCTCAGCTCCACCTTCGGACGAGTCCGTAGAGCCGAGTGGCCCGTACCAAGAGCTAGTGGGCTGCCTCATGTACCTGATGAACTGCACTCGACCTGACCTTGCGTTCCCTCTTAGCCTTTTGGCTCGCTACGTGGCTCCTCGTCGGCACCGAAAGGTGCACATAGATGCTGCGAAGAGGGTTTTGCGCTACTTGTGCAGTACATCGGGTATGGGGCTCGTGCTTGGAGGGCGGAGCGCAATTGTCCTCACTGGGCACTCAGACGCTTCTTGGGTTGACGACCAGGCTACGCAGCTTTCGTCACAGGGTTACACCTTCAGCCTTGGCTCTGGTTCAGTTTCTTGGCGTTCTACACGCTCGTCTTCTGTTCTCAGCTCCAGTTGTGAGGCTGAGATCTACGCCACAACCATGGCTGCACAGGAGTTACGCTGGCTCACCTACCTGTTGACCGACTTGGGAGAGCGGCCTCGTTCTCCTCCAGTGCTGTACGTTGACAACAAGGCCGCCATGGCCTTGTGTCAGGAGCACAGACTGGAGCACAGAATGAAGCACACCGCTCTGCGTTACTTCCTGGCTCAAGAGTTGCAGCAGCGTGGTCAGCTTCGTCTTGCTCACGTGGCCACTCGGGCCAACACTGCTGATATACTCACCAAGGCACTTCCGTCTGGTGATCATCAGCGTTTCTGCACTTTGTTAGGCCTTGTGCCCACTTTTCCTCACCTGCTGTAGACTTTGATTGTACTGTGATCTATATATATACCTGCATGCTTGCTCTGCTAGGTAGAGGTCTATGTGCTGTTGTTGTTGCATATATACCTCTGCATGTGAACTGGCCTTGTGACCCTTTGCTTTTGCTTAGTGTGTGTGGTGATGTTGTGATCCACCCTGAGCTTGCTTTGCTTTGCTTGATTTGTCTTGTGACCCCTTGCTCTCCCCCACTTTGCCTATGGAGGTGTGTTGAAGTATATGCATGTTATCTATGTGTAGGCTGTAGTGGGGTAGCCAATGTGGGGTACAGCCCCTTTTAGGGTTTCATACTTGTACCCAACTCTTTCATAGTTCATCCATTCCTGCTGCTAGATTCTGACTGGTTTGGGGATGAGGAAGGGACAGAGGAGAGGGGGGGGGGGGGGGGGGGGGGGGAAGAGAGGATACAAAAGCAGTGTGGTTTGGATGAAGCAATTGTCAAGAGATTCAAGGGAAGAGTGGCAGGCATCTGGATGCACCTCCCCGAACACCAGCACCAGGCCGCTGCTTGCGAGCGCACAGTCAGCCTGAGTGTGTTTGGTTGGGGAAAGGGGAAAGATGATGGTGGGGCGGGAACTACTTGTTGGAGGAGGAAATGGTTGGGGGAGGGAACGGACGAGCGGTTGGGCGTAAGAATGCAGTATCCCGCTGCTGCTGGCCCGTCGCACTCAGATCCTGAGTGGGTTCGGTGGAAGGAGAGGATGAAGGAGGGACCTGGAGGGAAGGTGTGAAGAACGTGGGTGCGTGGGGAAGAGCGGGGCACAGAAGCAGGTGGTGAGGGGGGGAGTGGGAGAGGCGTGGATGGGTGGAGAGGCAAGCGGGGGAAACAAGGGGTCTGTTGAATAAGGGAATGGTGTGGGGGGGAACACACGTGCCGTGAGGGTGAAGGAGGGGGGAGGGAAGGGCGTCCATGTGTTATGCTAGTCTGGCTCTGAGGTTCTAAAGAGGCAACGAGGAAGCCATCACACCATGACACCATCACACCATAACCCACTGTCATGGAACCTGGTGTTTGTGATGTCCTTCACCACACTCTAACTCGTCATTTCTTCGCATTGCACCCCACCAAACTACACCTCCATACACCATGCATCACCACACCACACCGAAACGAATCTTACTTGGCTCGCTATATTGCTGGGATCGCGATTTGATGAGAGGGAGGAGGAGGTGGTGGTTGTGGAGGTGCGGATGAAGTGGAAGAGGAGGAGGAGGAGGAGTGGGCTTGAGGCTCAGTGGAGACGAGGCACAGCAAACCACTCGTAAGGGCACTTGTTTGGGGGGGAGAGGAGAGATGCATGGGAGGGACAGGAGAGATGATGAGATCAAGGGAGGGGAGGGGCATATGGGGAAAGCGAAGGCTCACCTGGTGTGTGGCGCTCACCTCTCTGAGGGTGGGGGTAAGCATGGCGGAGGGTGGGGGGAAGCAAGGCAGAGGGAGGGGGGAAGCAGGGAGGAGGGAGGGGGCAAGCAGGGAGGATGGAGAGGGGAATCAGGAAGGAGGGAGGGGGAAAGCAGCAAAGAAGAAGTTCAGGCAGGGACACCTCACTACAACTGCTGCCAGGCTCACTGCCCACCTCCGACAGAGATGGTCGGTGATGCTGCAGCGCAGCCAAGCCATCTCACTCCTCTCCTAGTCTAACCGTGCAGCCCACAGGCAGCCTTCCCACAGGCAGCAACAGACCCATGGACCCCACGGCTGGGGGACCTCTGGCAGATGACCGAAGACGGATATGAGGAGCGGGAGGCCCCTGCTAGGGCGGCTTAGAGGGCTGTGGGGAGAAGAAGAGGGCGGTAGGGAAGCAGTAGGATGATGCGTGGTGGATGAATAGGGGGTAGTCCAGGAGGGTGGATCGGACAGGGTGTTTTCAGGTTCTTGGGGTGCCATGGGGTTGGGAGGGGTTGTCACGACGACCGAGCCTGTTTCGGTGCTATGTGCTTGCCTATGCAGGTGTTGCCTCGAGTGCCGTGATTTGAGTCTATATGCTAAGGCTAAAGTGTCTTGCTTGTTTGTTCTACTCTGCATGTTTGTACCCTCCTGGCCTATCAATATACGGACCATTTAAGTGAGTCCCTAGGGACTTAGCCTCTGCAGCAAGCCTCTCTACCCTCTATAGCCTTAGCATATAGCCCCTCTTGGTCCTAGTTCCAGCTCATTATTCGGTTCAGCTTTCATTTTCACCCTCCAAAGCAAGCGTCTTACGAAGCAAGCTTTCATAAAACATACACGCATGGCAGGAGGTGAAGGGAACTAAGAAGCGACAATGCTGCAGGCGGAGGCGAACTCTACATCCGGTCTGCTTCAAGGGCAGCAAGAATGCCCGTCAGGGTCAGCCACACCTCGCTGACCACCAAGGTGCTTGCGCCGATCGCATCGACTCCAGTCCCTGCGTGCAAATAACGCCGCAGGTCACAAACAGTGCTTCAAGCTGCCCCACAGCCGCGACGCCTACCCGCGCGGGCGCAGCCAACACGGGCGCCAGGAGGAGGGCGAGCTGTTCAGCTGCATTGAGGCACTCGTCTCGCTGCCCGTCAAGAAGAGTGTTTCCAGGAACACGCGGAAGTGACGCATGCGCCAATACCTGCAGTAGCAAGAGAGTTTGCAGGCTCTCAAAAAGCCACCACAGGTGCCCAAGAGTTGCCTCGGGCACGCGCGCCTGCAGGAGAGGGATTTCTCCTGCTGGGTAGGGGAAGTGAGCAGTAATAGCAAAGGGAGGAGCATCAGCAGCAAGAAGGAGAGGAGGATATTGTGCCACCGCCACTCCTCCCTCCGCCTGAAACTCCATGCCTGCCACCACGGGGGTCAACAACTGGCGGAGACCAGGAGCCCCTGCAGCAACAGGCGCAAGAGCAGGAGCTGGGGGAGTCACCAGCTGTCGAGGGAAACGAGCGGGAGCGGCAGAGGAATGCACTACGTGAGGGGCAACTGCAGCCTGAGAAGCGGCAGGCGGAGGAGCATGCTGCCTAGGAAGTTTTTCCCTTGGTCGCGACTTGTGTTTCAAACCAATGAGGGTAACCCTGTTTTTGGCGACTTCAAGTTCAAGAATCTTGAATTTGAAAAATACCATGCTGTATTCGGGCTTTAACAGTGGGTTGGGACCCCCTACATTTTTTTCCTGCAGTTTTCATAAGATCCAAGGGTCTTGTATCTGCTCTGGGTGATTGCTGCATTTGAGATCAGAATCATGATGTTTATATGTGTCACTACAGAGGTACCAATTTCCTACTCAACCAAGTTTGTTTATTTCATCTTACAGGCATGAATACCGTACAACAGGAAAATATCTCAAGGTCAAAACCTGGGACAAATTCCCTTCCTTCCACCAGTTCCTACACTCTACCCTTCCTAGGCTTGGTAGAGCTCTTCTTGCAGTCAGGCAGGGGTTTCCCACAGAGCTTGGGGTTGCCGGGGCGGAAGCAGGTGGTGGGCAGGTCGGAGAGGGAGGAGGGGACGGAGCCAGAGAGGGCGTTGCCAGCGAGGTGCACTTGCAGGGAGGGGGCAGCAGCACGCAGGCGCGCAGGGATGGTGCCTGACAGCCCGCTCCACGACACGTCCAGCTCCTGCAGGGCCTTCAGGGACGCCAGCCCTGCAGGGATGCTGCCGCTCATGCGGTTGCGCGCCGTCTGCAAGGAGTGCAGCGCGGTGAAGCGCGAGAGGGATGCGGGGAGCGAGCCGGAGAGCTGGTTGGTGGAGACGTTGAGGGAGACGAGGGAGGAGGCGCAGGAGGAGGAGGGGAGGAGGGAGGAAAGGGGGCCAGAGAAAGCGTTGGAGGAGAGGAGGAGAGAGGCGAGGCGCTGCTTGCCCTGGCAGAAGGCAGGCAGGGAGCCTTTGAGATTGTTGCGTGAGAGGTCCAGATGGGTGAGCATGGGGGCCAGGGTGAGCGAGCGCGGCAGTGAACCCGAGAGCTGGTTGCTGCTGAGGTTGAGGTGGGCAAGAGGGGAGGTCGAGGAGGCGAGGAGGGGGGGAATGGCACCGGAGAGGAGGTTGTAAGAGAGGTCCACGTGAGTGCAGCGAGAGCAGGCAGTCACAGGCAGGAGCGAACCGGAGAGCTGGTTGCGGGAGAGGCTCAGGTGAGTTAGACCAGTGAGGCTGGTGGTGAGAGCATCGGTGATGGGTCCTGTGAGCTGGTTGGACGAAAGGTCCAAGTGGGAAAGAGGGAGACGGGAGGAGTTCTGAGTGGTGCCTTGGAGTATGTCAGGAATGGCGCCAGTTAAGAGGTTGTAAGAGAGATCCATGTGAGTGCAGCGAGGGCAGGCAGAGAGAGGCAGGATGGAGCCAGAGAGCTGGTTGTGGGAGAGGCTCAGGTGAGTTAGTTCTGTGAGGCTGGTAATGAGAGCATCGTGGATGGGTCCTGTGAGCTGGTTGGACGAGAGGTCCAAGTGGGAAAGAGCGGGATGGGAGGTGCTCTGGTTGTCGGCCTTGAGAGGGTCTGGGATGGGGCCGGAGAGGTGGTTGTGGGAGAGGTCCAACAGGGAGAGGCACGGGGACAAGACAGCATCCGGGATGCTCCCAGTCAGTGCATTGTGGCTCAGCCGCACCTCCGCACCGCTCTGCATCACACTGCATTCGCCTGTGGTTGGGAATGGCAGGTTTTGTTGTGCAAGGGCGCCAGAGAAGGAGTTGAAGGAGAGGTCGAGGTAGGTGAGGCTCGTGACCCCACTGCTGCTGCTGCTGCTGCCGCTGCTCTCACCCACAGCGGGCAGCTCCCCGGTGATGGCATTATGGGACACGTCCAGGCTGCGCAGTGCACTCGCATCCTGGAGAAGCACTGACGCGTTGAGCCCAGTCAGGCTATTCCAGCTCACGTTCACGTGCGCCACTTTCGGCCCCAGCGGGGGGACTGCCCCGTCCAGCTGGTTGTGCGACAAGTCACATGACTCCAGGGCACCATGGAGAGGCGGGATGGCGCCAGAGAAGTTGTTGTGGGAGAGGTTGATGGCGGTCATTGCTGGATTCAGCGCCGCCAGCGTGCCGGAGAGCAGGTTGTGGGAGAGGTCCAGCTCTCTACCCACCGATCTCAGCAGATACGAGGTCACATTCCCCGACAGTTGATTGTGTGAGAGGCGCAGCACATCCATCAACCCATTGGGCCACCAGGGCACTTCAACTATATCGTCCAGCGTGCCCGAGAGCAGGTTGTGGGAGAGGTCCAGCTCCCCACCCACTCTTTTCAGCAGCCAGTAGGGCACTTCCCCCGACAGCTGGTTGTGCGACAGGCGCAGCACATCCATCAACGCGTGCGGCCAGTAGGCCACGCCAATCATGTCGTCCACCGTGCCAGTGATTCGGTTGTGGGAGAGGTCCACCACGGATGCAATCGTCTGCACGTTCAGCTCGTACTGGAATGTGAGGTTGTTGTGCGACGCGTTCAGGTAGCGCATGCGCGGGAAGGGGTGCTTGAGCTCATACGCTCTGTAGTTTGCGTCCCAGGGGACGAAGAGCACATTGGCGTCACTGGACAGCTGGTTGCTGCTGACGTCCAGGGAGTCGAGCAGCGGGAACACTTTGGTCAGGCTCTGCGGGTAACGTGGCCGGGATGAGGGAACAACCCCCCCTGCAGCAGCAGCAGCAGCAGCAGCAGCAGCAGCCGTGGCGTCGGCAGGGGGGTCGATGGCAGTGGCGACCTCAAGGAGCCCGCCCTGAAAGGCGTTCCCCTGCAGGTGCAGGTCTGTGAGCATCCAGAGCGCGCCGAGCTCCCTTGGCAAGCTGCCGTCCAGCCGGTTGTGGTCCAGCGCCAGGCGCGTCAGCCCCGCCAGAAGACTCACCCGCGCTGCTATGGACCCCGACAGAGCATTCCCCCCCACGTCTAGACTCTCCAAACTCGCCATTGCCAGCGCTGCCGCTGCTGCAGTGGTGCTTGGGAGGGCTGCTCCCGTGAGGTTGTTCCCGCGGAGGGAGAGCTCTCGCAGCGAGGGGAGGGCGAAGAGGGCGGGGGGGATGGAGCCGGAGAGGTGGCGGTTGGAGGAGAGGTCGAGAGCGACGAGGTGAGAGAGGCGTGAGAGGGACGACGGCAGGCCGCCGGAGAGGGCGTGCCCGGAGATGCGCAGCGAGGTGAGCTGCGTCAGCTGCCCCAACGCCTCCGACAGACTCCCACTTGCACTGCTGCTGCCGCTCCCGGCAGACAGGCCCTGCAGGAAGAAGTGTGCGGTGTGGGGAGGCTCGGAGGCGCATGACATGTCCCCGAGCTGGTCGTTCTGGCAGTCGGGCATGTCCGGAACCACGTTTGGGTGCAGTGCGACCGTGGCGTCCCCCAGCAGGTGCAGCGTGTGCACGTGCCCGTCTGCTGTGCACCCCACGCCGTACCACTCACACGCACTGCTGCTGCTGCTGCTGCTCGCATCCCAGCTGCTCAGTATCGCCGCCCACGAGCTGTTTCCGCCGTTCACCAACGCTACCGCCTCTGTTCCCCCACCTGCTTCCCCCGCTGCTTCCCACAGGAGTGCATCGCGCACGGCCAGCAGAGCCTCAGTCTCAGCAGCGGACGCCTGCACGCCAGGCGACGGAGCAGGGAGGTACCCCGCGCCCACGGCGCCCTTCATGGCAGCGCTGTTGCCGCTCACTCGCAGCACGCTCCAGTCCGTGGGCCCCTGCGCGTCCCTGCGCGCGTCAAACAGAGGCCCCGACAGCTCGTTGAACCGCACGTCCACCACCCCTCGCCCTCGCCCTTCCCCTCCCGCCCTGCTGCCCTCCACACTCACGTTCGCCCCGCGCTCCAGCCCCCTGGTGCTCGCCAGGCGGAACAACCCCTCGGGAATGCTGCCCGTGAAATTGTTGTGCGACACGTCCAGGCTGCCGTTGCGGATCACGGAGAAGGCTTTCAGGCTGCCCGTGAGGCAGTTGTGGCTGAGGTTGACGTGCAGGCTCTGCGCTTGCAACACACGTGCTGGCGACCCCATGACAATGCGCCCCCACTGCTCGTCCACTCGCAGGAACAGGTTATCGGGAACGCTCCCCCTCAGCCCCGCGTGCGGCGCGCTTAGCACCTCCACCTGCGCGGGCACCACGCACCCATGCAGATCGCCCTCCCCCGGCTGTCCCCCTTCCTCCTCCGCGCCGCTGCCCCCGCCGCCGCCAAAGGCGTTGAAGCCGAGATAGAGCTCGCGCGCCGGCAGCAGCGCGTCGCAGAACGGCCCGCTCAGCGCGTTGCCGTCGAGGCGCACCACGTCCAGCCCGCGCAGCGACGCGAGCGCCGTGGGCGCACCCGACAGGCGGTTCTCCCCCAGGTCCAGGTGCGTGAGCGCGCGCATCACCTGGGCCAGCGCCGGCGGAATCGCGCCGGTCAGGCCGTTGCCGCGCAGCGAGAGCGACTCGAGGCTGTTGTACGGGAGGTTGTCGTACGAGGGGTTTTCGTACAGGTACGCGTCCGCGTCGCGCGGGAGCTCGCCCGTGAGGTTGTTGTACGAGAGGTCGATGCGCGTGCTGGGGCCGCGGAGGGGGGGAACGGTGCCGGAGAGCAGGTTGTGCGAGAGGTCGAGCTCGGCGCGCACGGCGGAAAGCAGGTCCGCGGGGACGCTCCCCGACAGCTCGTTGTGCGCCAGGAGCAGCACGCTCCCGCCAACGTTGCGCATGACTTCCGCCAACGCGCCGGCGATGCGGTTGTGCGAGAGGTCCACGACGGTCGCGACGAAGGTGCTGCCGGCACTGCACGTGAGGTTGTTGCGCGACGCGTTCAGGTGGCTCAGGCCGCGCGGGAGAGGCGCGAGCGCGGCCGCGTCGCCAGAGAGCTGGTTGCTGCTGACGTCCAGGAAGTTGAGCAGCGGGAACGCCGTGCGGAGACCAGCAGACGCAGCAGCGTCAGGAGCAGCAGTCGCAGCGGAAGCAGGAACTAGCGCAGCGATGATGTCTCCGGTCAATCTGTTCTGGTCGAGCGTGAGGCGTTTGAGCGGCGAGAGAGTGGCGATGGCCGTTGGGATGGACCCCGTCAGGCCGTTGTCCCCCAGGTTCAGCTCCGTCAGCGCCGTCATCTCCGCCAGCGCCGCTGGAATGCCGCCGGTCAGCCCGTTGCTGCGCAGGGAGAGCGCGACGATGCTCCGCGAATACGCCCCCGCCTCCCCCGGGAGCTCCCCCGTGAGGTTGTTGGCCTCGAGGCGCAACTCGCGCAGCGCAGGCGCGCGGAAAATCGCGAGCGGAAGCTCCCCCGAGATGTTGTGAGCGGAAAGGCGAACCGTTTCCAGCGACGGGGAGTACGCATCGGGCCCGTCGGGAAGGGGCCCTGAAAGGCCGCCGCCAATGGTGGTGCTCAGATCCACGTGGCGGAGCGCGGGCAGGCGGAAGAGCCCAGGCGGGATGGGGCCGGAGAAGCTGTTATCGGGCGCGTCGAGTTCCGTCAGCTTCTGGAGGCGCGTGACGGAGTCCGGCAGGTCGCCGGCGAGGCACGAGTGGCGCAACACCAGCGAGGAGAGCTCCGCGAGGTCGCCAATGGCGGGCGACAGCGCGCCGGGCGGGCAGCTCCCTCCGAGATACCCGGTGGGCCCGGGCATGTCATAGAGACTGGGGTCGGAGTAGATGCCGGTGATGCGCCCGGCGGCTGTGCACTCGATTTGACACCAGATGAGGCACGACGGGGGCCTCATGCTGGCTGGCGCACAGCAGTTGTACGTGAGGTTGCCACTCCTGTCGAAGAGCTCTTTCGAGGATGGGCTGTCGTACCAGAAGAACATGCCCTGGGGCAGCGCCGCATACACCGCGCGCATGGCCTCCCGGTCGCTGTCCGCCATCTTCACGACGCACCCCGGGGGGTTCGAACCGTTGTAGGCTTCCGCGCCGCGGAGGAGGGCGATGCGCGCGAGGAGGGCGATGAGGGTTAGGAGTGAGAGGAGGGGGAGGGAGGACGGGAAGGCGCGGCGAGGGAATGACGTCATGAAGGCGTTCGAGAATGGGAGTATGCGAATGAATATGGGAGTACGAGAAGATCGGGAGCGTGCGAATAATGATGGGCCCCTATTAAGATCATTGGAAAAGAGGAAGTATCACTACAAGTACCAACTCGAGCTCTACTGGCGCGGCTAGTGTTACTACTAGTACTAATGCCGGGCGTTGTTGCACGAATTTTGAGGGCGAGATCCGAAAGAGGTCCGAGTAGATAGTGGTACGTGGTAGGTGGTAAGTGGCGTTGAGTACTAGCGGCACGATCAGGGTCTCCCCGCGTTCGGAGCGTTGACTTGGTTGACGGGAAGCCAGGAGTGTCTAATGCGGAGGAGGGTTGAGCGGAAGCAGATTGGCGGAAAGGGTGCGCGAGGAGTACGAGGCGCGTTCTGACTGGGCGCGCGTTGCGGTAATGAACAGCCATTGTAACGGTTGCTATTTTGGCGTGCTTGAAGTCACTGACGACAACCGGGGGAGGCGTGAAGCGGAGCATTGGCGTGGCGGCACAACCAAGTCACTAGTACTACTGTTACTGCCAGCGAGGTGCCTCGAATAGAGCCTGCCGAGCCCAGCTAGGCGAAGGCGAGGATTTCACGGTGCTGGTTGGCTGGAAATAGCACGGCGACATGAAAGAGGCACCAACAAACTTGCGAAGGTGTGAGAGCAGCAGCGACGGCGGAAGACACAGCACGACTTGGAGAGAAAGTGGTGGAACGGGTAAGAGGCAGGGCGTGCATGAGCAGGTGGGAGGGAACATAGACAGGCGAGGATCATGGGAGGAGGAGATGGGCGAGGCAGTAGAAGGTTGATGCTGGCTGGTTTCCAAGCCGCATGTCACATTGCAGGTGCCTTTCCCAGGTTCCGTTGTTGTGATGATGCTATGAGTATGTAGGGTTCCGTGTAAGGATTTACAAAATCCTTATTGAGGCACTCCTTAGCGAGGCCATCCCGAGGGTCACGCGACGAACCTGTTCGGCCTATTTCGTCGCACCGAACCACCCCCGAGTCGCCTGCGCACCAATCGCAACCAACCATCACCGAGCCATCTTCGCCCGACCTCTCCGCCAGGGACTACGTTATCACAAATATTTTGTTTATTTGTCTGGATTTCAGACATGTTTTTTATCGTTCATCTGATGGCGTAGACATGTCCATTTTGTCAGAACTATATTGTAGGCTGTGGTGGGGCACTCCTTATGGGGTACAGTATCGTTAGGTTTTGCCTATACAAACCTTGTACTGTCCCGTTTCTAGCTATTCTCGTTTCTTACTTTGTGACATGGTTTCAGAGCAGGTTCCCTAGTGGGAACGTTTTTTTTTTTTTTTTAAGGGCCCACTGTGTTAACTTTTTTTTTTCCTGCCCTGCCCGAAGCGCGCGTCGCGCCTGCCTCGCCTGCGCCGTCGTGCGCTCTGCCCTAGCGCCGCCCTTAGCGGCCCTGCCCTTGCGGCCCGTCGCGCCCTTACCTCAACGGCCCGTCGAGGCCCCTTTTCTCGCCGCCGCGGCCCGCCTAAGCCGTAGTCGCGGCCCGCCCTAGTCGTCGTCGCCGCCCTTAGCGGCCCGCCCTAGCCGTCGTCGCGGCCCTTAGCGGCCCGCCTCAGCCGTCGTCGCGGCCCTGCCCTACCTGCCTGCTGCGGCCTGCTTTCGCCGCCTACGCGGCCCTGCCCTGCCGCCTCTCGTCGCGGCCTCGACGCGGCCCTCCCCTGCAGCCGCCGTGACACGGCCCTGCCCTACTGCCGCCTGGTCGTGGCCCTGCTCTCCCGCCTGTCAGAACATTATAGCTTATGCTTTTGTGTAGGCTGTAGTGGGGTATCCCATAGGGGGTACAACCCAATTAGGGTTAGTACTTGTACCCACTTCATTCATAGTTCACTCATTCTCGTTTCAGTTTTCTCATGGTATCGAGCAGGTTCCCTCGTGGGAACTGTTCCTAGGGCCCTACTACTGCTTCCGCTGCTACTCGATCTGTCGCACGCCCCGTGGCGTGCGACCTATTTTCATCTCGCGCGCGCCCCGAGGCGCGCGGCCCCGCTACCTCGTCGTGCCGCCCTAGCGGCCGCGTCGCGCCGCCCTCGCGGCCCCGATCTGCCGCCCTAGTGGCCTCGTCACCTACCCCTGCGGCCTCAGCGCCGCCCTTCCCGGCCCCGGCTCCGCCCTTCCCGGCCCCGGCGCCACCTCGGCTGGCCCCGTCGCCTACCCCGGCGACCCCGACGCCGCCCTTCCCGACCCGGCCCCGCCTCCGCTGGCCCCGTCGCCTGCCCCTGCGGCCCCGGCTCCGCCCTTCCCGGCCCCAGCGCCACCTCGGCAGGCCCCATCGCCTACCCCGACGACCCCGACGCCGCTCTTCCCGACCCGGCCCCGCCTCTACTGGCCCCGTCGCCTACCCCTGCGGCCCCGGCGCTGCCCTTCCCGGCCCCGGCGCCACCTCTGTTGGCCCCGTCGCCGCTCCACCCGGCCCCGATGCCGTCCCCAAGCGGCCCCGCCGTCACCACCGAGCCGCCGGCGCCGCCGAGGTAGTGCCGAGCCACCCGAGCCACCCGAGCCGCCCGAGCCGCAGCGCCACCTCAGCCGCCGAGCCGCTGAGCTACAGTTGCTGCCGAGCCGCCGTACCGCTGAGTCGCCCGAGTCGCCCGAGCCGCCGAGCCGCAGTTGCTGCAGTGCCGCCGTGCCGCCGAGCCGCCCGAGCCGCCCGCACCGCCGAGTCGCCGAGTCGTCGAGCCTGCTCTTCCCACCACTGGTGAGCCCCTGCCTTACTAGCGCGCTGCCTGCCGCTTGCTTGGCTGCCTGCCTTACTACTGCTACTCCTGCTCCTGCTTCTACTGGCGCAGCCAGATGCAGCCCCAGCGACGTCAGCGTGAGTCCCTCACGCCCCAGCAGCTCCGTGAGTGGTACGCTGGTTGGGGCTGTAGGGGTGGCGGCGCTACTACTGCTACTACTACAGGCGGCGGCCAGATGCAGCTCCAGCGACCCCCACGCGCGTCTCTCACGCCCCAGCAGCTTCGTGAGTGGTACGCTCAGAGTGGAGGGTCTCTCAGTTCTGTTCGCTGCTCTTACGTGATTCGCACTGGTGCTCGGACTGGTCAGCCTTGTGGGACGCCTAGTCACACACAGTCCCGCTGCTTCGCCCGTCTGAGCGACGCCTAGCGTACCGAGTTTGGCGACGAGGCTGAGCTCTCCGACTGGGTGGAGTTGCTTAGGCAGAGGGTAGATATATTTGCTCTTGACTATGATGCTATTCTCACTGCCATGTATGCATTGCCTACTAGTGCTGACCGTGCCGGTCACCTGTGCGTACCGCCTGACCCGGGTATCGAGCCTGCTGCTCTAGCTGCTGGTGAGGCTGCTGCTCTGAGTGCAAGTGTGTCTCCTGCTCCAGGTACAAGTGCAGCTGCTGCTCTAGGTGCTAGTGAGTCTGCTTCCTCAGGTGCGGGTGAGTCTGCTCTCTCAGGTACCGCGCCGGCTCCGGCCTCTCACACCTTCACCCTTGACTCGGGGGCTTCCCGCTCCTTCTTTCGGGACCGCACCACACTCACGCCGCTTGGTCGGCCAGTTGCAGTCTCTCTGGCAGACCCCTCTGGGGGCCCTGTCCTTGCTCACTTCTCCGCTGTCCTCCCGTATCCGGCGGCCCCCTCTGGCACCCTGTCTGGTCTTTACCTCCCCTCGTTCTCTACGAACTTGGTGAGTGGTGCTGACCTGCAGGATGCGGGGGTTCACGAGTTCACTCCTGCGAGTCAGCGGGTGACCCACTGCACGGACGCTCGGACAGGCCGACACCTGGCCACGTTTACTCGTCGGCCGGGGTCGAGCCTGTACACACTTACCACTACGTCTCCTCCAGTCCCTGCGTCTGGTCAGGTAGCTGCATCGGGTCAGGTGTTTGCTGCAGCGTCCAGGTCTGGTCCTGAGTCTGCCCCCTGCTCGTGTCGCCTCCTGTCTCACGAGACTCTCCTCTGGCACAACCGCCTCGGTCACCCCTCCCTGCTTTGTCTCCGAAGCATGGCCTCCCGTGTCCTTGTCTCTGGTCTTCCCCGGTCCCTCCCTCCCCTCCCTCCGGGGCCTGGCCCTACCTGCGTCCCCTGTGTCGAGGGGCGGCAGCGGGCTGCCCCTCACTCCTCCCAGTTTCCTCCGATAGAGGCCCCGCTGCAGACGCTTCACATGGACGTGTGGGGCCCGGCCCACGTCCGTGGACAGGGTCACGAGCGCTACTTCATGCTGGTGGTTGACGACTAGTCGCGTTACACCACAGTCTTCCCCTTGCGCAGCAAGGGTGATGTCACTGAGGTGTTGATCGACTGGATCCGCGCAGCTCGTCTCCAGCTCAGGCGGAGCTTCGGCTCGGACTTTCCTGTTCTCCGTCTGCACTCTGATAGAGGCGGAGAGTTCTCTTCTGGCCTTCTGCGAGCCTACTGTCGTGCACGAGGCATCCACCAGACCTTCACACTTCCGGACTCTCCACAGCAAAATGGGATTGCTGAGCGCCGCATTGGCATGGTCATGGACGTTGCCCGTACGTCCATGATGCATGCGGCTGCCCCCCATTTTCTGTGGCCGTTTGCGGTCCGGTACGCGGCGCATCAGATCAACCTTCAGCCTAGGGTCTCCATGCCGGAGACCTCCCCAGCCTTGCTGTGGACGGGGAAGGTTGGCGATGCGTCGGCGTTCCGTGTCTGGGGATCTTGGGCGTTTGTTCTCGACTTGTCTGCGGACAAGCTGTCCCCTCGTGCTGCTCCTTGCGTCTTCCTGGGTTTCCCCCCTGACGCGCCAGGGTGACAGTTCTACCACCCCACCTCTCGCCGTGTTCTGTCCTCCCAGGACGTCACGTTCGACGAGTCGGTCCCCTACTACCGTCTCTTCCCCTACCGCACTCCGTACCTCCCCCCGCCACCGCTCTTCCTTGTGCTAGGTCCCCCCCTGGTAGACCCCCTTCCCCCTCAGGGTCCGTCCCCTTCAGATGTGTCCCAGGTAGACGCTGTCGAGCCTGTCGAGGTCGCTGGTGAC